AAAGAAAGAGGGGTCCACTACACCACCTTAGAGAAGTTCTTTCAACGGATCAGAGAATACAGATTGAGGTTGAATCCACAAAAGTGTACATTCAGTGTAACAGTAGGGAAAATGCTGGGGTTCTTGATCACACAGAGGGGCATCGAAGTAGATCCTTCCAAAATCAAGGCCATCCTAGAAATGCCACCACCAAGGACTGAAAAGGAGGTGCGAGGCTTTCTGGGTAAAGTGCAATTCATAAGACGGTTTATTTCAAAATTAACATTGACTTGTGAACCACTATTTGGTCTCTTGAAGAAAGGAAAGAAACTTTAATAATGTAAGTTTGCTTTTGAGCAAATCAAGCAGTTCTTTCAGAATCCGCCTGTGTTGTCACTGCCAGAGCCGGGGAAGCCCTTGATTTTGTATCTGTCTGTAACGGACACAACGATGGGATTCATGCTTGCTCAGGAATCTGAGAATAGGGTGGAGAAAGCCATGTACTATTTGAGCAAGAAAATGATGGACTGTGAGACCCGTTACACCTCACTGGAAAAGGCTTGCTTAGCCTTGGTATGGGCTACTAGGAAGTTGAGGCACTACTTATTAGCTCACTCTGTAATTCTAGTTTTGAGATTAGATCCCATCAAATATCTCTTTGAGAAACCAGCATTTACGGGTAGACTAGCTCGTTAGTTGCTTCTTCTCTCCGAATTTGATTTGAAATATGTTACTCGCAAGTCTGTCAAGGGGAAAGCAGTAGTTGAGTTCTTGGCAGATCACCTAGTGGAAGGGAATGAAGTGGTAGAATACCTGTTCCCAGATGAAGCTATTCTGCAAGTCGAGGAAGATATTTGGACAATGTACTTTGACGGAGCATCTAACCAATACGGTTATGGGATAGGGGTGTTGCTGATAGCACCCGACAATTCCCATATACCCTTAGCCTTCAAACTCTGGTTCAAGGTATCCAACAACGAAGCAGAATACGAGGCGTGTATCGCTAGTTTGGAAGCCGCCCTCGAACTAGAGGCAAAAGGGTTGGACGTCATCGGGGACTCAAACCTAGTTGTGTCTCAAGCAAAAGGAGACTGGAAGGTCAAAGAAGAAAAGATGAAGATCAACCACCAAACCTTAGACGTTCTAATTCCTAGGTTTGAGAATCTAACCTTTACGCATCTACTAAGAGAGAACAACAGGTTCGCTGATACTTTATCAACTCTATCTTCTATGATAGACATCCCGTTGGGAGTCCGGATACGTCCGATCATCATTGAGTAGAGATATATGCCAGCCTACAAGACTATCACCGCAATAGATGAAGTGCAAGATCAAAACCCCTAGTATTATGATATCTGGAACTTCTTGGAAAATGAGGCTTATTCACTAGGGGCAAATGCCAAAGATAAAAGGGCAATACGGAGGATGGTCGTTCAATTTATCATCTATGGGGGTAAGTTATATAAAAAAAGTCATCTGGGAATGCACAAGTTGTGCATCAATGCAGAGGAATCAAAGCGCCTAATGGAGGCCATCCATGGGAGAGAGTGTGGAGCGCACATGGGCAGAGTAATATTAGCCCGGAAGATTCTCAGGAAGCTGTTTTGCCCATTAAAATAGAGGTTTCGTCGTTGCGGGTTATGGCTGAGTGCCAGATAGCAGAAGTGGACTGGTAGTAGAGCAGGTTCGAAGAACTAATGTTGTTTGATGAGAGAAGACTGAAAGCACTGCACCATGTTCAAGGATATCAACGCAGGATTACCAAGGCTTTTAACAAGAAAGTTAAGTCTCGGAATCTTAAAGAAGGGGATTTGGTGCTGAAAGATAACCGAGCTCCCATCTATGACCCTAGAGGCAAGTTCAGACCCAATTGGACTAGTCCTTACATTATCAAGATTGTCTAGTCGGGTGGAGCTGTTATTCTTATGGACCTAGATGGCCTAGAATTTTCCCAACCGATCAACATGGGCAAGTTGAAGAAATATTACCTTTGAGAGGCTCGCTAGGCCGAAAACCCAAAAGGGCGACCGAGGTAAAAGTTAGAGCACAAAAAATTGAAAAAAGAAAAATTGACCTTGTAAGGTTGAAAACCCAGAGAGGGCGGCTTTGGCAAAAGTTAGAGCGCAAAACGAGAGCATTAATACTCGAGTGAACCCGAACCAAACTACGTAAGGCCTAATTCCCATTTTCAAGATACGTAGGCATTTTCATCTTGAAATTCGGCCATAAACACCTCCAAATCAACTATGTCCATGTGTTTGATCAAGGCATCCTTGTCCTTTCGTTATCTAATAGTTCGGTTGTGATCTTTACCCTGAGAGAAGAGCTAAATACAGTGATGTGCAATGCTAATTCAGTCAAGGGGCAATTTTTCATTTTTATGGATTCGGGGTTTGTACATCTCGAGGATAGATTCCATGTGGGTCAAGTTGTGATCCTTATCGAAAATGGTTTTGAAAATTTTTGATAATATTTGATTTTGTTCAAATTAATCTTTTTACAACTTAGACCATTTTTGGACCAAAAGAAAAATTTTCAGTGCCCACAACTTCAATTTCATTGATTTCAATACAAAGTTCTCTGACTCTTGATACAAATCAAAGTTGCTTTTTATTACATGCATAAAACTTGAAAAATAAGATCAAAGCAATAAACTTGGGGCATAGTTGAGTCAGGTGTTCTTGCGTCCCCCGCTTGTGCTTGTGGAAACTGCTGGCACTAAAGTGGGCCCGGATTGTGCCTCATCTTCAAGCCATGTCAAGCACTCGCCAGAAAGTGCACAGTTGAAACTAGGGGCAAGAGCTAGAAGTTCTCTCGTCCTCCAAGCAGTGGGATAGCGATCTAATTGTGAACCTCGAATTGGAAATGAAGCCGAGTACTTTGCCCCCTCTTTTGGGCAAGTCTGGTCATGTCCGAACTGACGCCTGAACCAGAACAAAAAGTAGAATACACAGTGTGTCAGGCCAATTAGTTGAATGTCGGGTTGTCGAGCCATGCTGTAGCTCATCTTGGGCAGATCAAACCAGGGGCAACGTCAAGCAATGTCAGCAGCAGACCTGTTGCATATCCAATGGCACCACCACCGTTCGTTCGGGAAATCAACTAGCTGTTGGTGAAAGAAATAGCCTCGTGCTGAATATGCAGGGCAAGACTCCACTACCTTTAGCTTGTCCATGAGCCATATCTGGGGAGGGATGAAAGAAAAAAGAGATTAAAGAATAGAGAGGTGTATGTTGAGAGGAAAAAGTAAGAAAAGGGCTTTAAGGGAAAAGCAGAGCATGAGTGCCGAGTGATGTGAGAAACACATATGAGAAAGGGTGGGAAACATTACCTAAAGAAGTAGTGAACTTCTTGCAAATTTGTTTGTCTCTCGTTGATGAAAGGCATCTAAGCCCATCAAAGTCTCGGCCAATACCAAGCCAATGCAACTCTTGCCCTCTTTCAAGCCCTGTGCCAAAAACCCTGCCTGAAAAGATCGACTCAATCACTGGCATCAGAAAATCGATGAATTAAACTGGGGATGTCCAGCTCTCCGTTGTGAACCAAGGATCGGGCATCGTGTAAAATAAGCCCACACATTCTTCCCAAAGCTTGGAGGTGACCAAAACGGGGCTGAGGCAAGATTTCCTCTTTGCACCGGGACTCCATTAGCTCTTGAAATTCTTCGATTGTCGAGTATATCTATTGTCCCCCGAAGCTAAAGACATGCGTAATTGGATTCTAACATCTACCTGCGGCATGTAAGAACGGAAAACAAAGCAGAGAACAACTTCGCGGGAATAGTGCATTTATGCCGAAACCCCGAAAATTCAACGTTTCCGAGTCATCTAAAGTTGCAATCCAATTCGAGAGTTTTCGGCAAAGAATGGATCCATTTGTGAAGCATTTGCAGCTGAAATGAAGAAAATACGAAGTCTGAACCTTTTGTAGAAGAGAAGGCAGTGAGTGGAAGCCAGGTGTCAACATTTTGGAGGTTCCTCACATTGGTGGCTGACCGGCCATCTGGTGGCCGACATAACCATTTATGGCCAACAGCCCTTTTTGCAGACTTGCTATCCACTTTTGTGTTGAGAGTGCTAAGAACCCTATTTTGTTCTTCTCTTTGTATATGTTAAGGTCTAGTTTTGAGTCCTTTTAGCTTTAGCAAGTTTACTGAGTTGCATTTGAGTTGTTTTGTTTTGTTTATTGAGTTGTTTTGCTCAGCGAGTTATTTATCGAGTCGTTTTGTTGTATATCGAATTGTTCTGTTATTTATCGAGTTGTTGTTATTTTGATTATCGAGTTGTATTACTTTGTTTATTTCAGTTATTGGTCGGTTCGTTACCTGATTCAAACTGTTGTGACAATACAAGTTTTCGATTTTCAATGTTAATTTCAATCTCATTTACATGCAATGCGGTGCTCATGATGCAAAACACAACACTTTTACAATAAAGCTTGGTTTTTATTCCGATCATGGTTGTTTTCACAAAATAGTGCAGAACAAGTTTTTATAGCCAAAAAAAAAACTGTCTGAGGCTGTAAAAAGTGCTAACACTACTAACGAAAAGAAACTAAGCAAAAATACAGATAGATCAGCACCAGCTATCTCAAGCTAGAGAGGCCCTCTTCGTCCTTTTCCTCAGTGGAGCAGACTCTGCAGTGCTGTCTCTATTTGCATCGCTGTCTGAACCAGATGCCGAACTGGAATCGGAGTCATCGCTACCCTCTGCCTCAGAACCTGGCTCAGTAGCATTGCCACTAGCAGAACCCGAGCCAGCATCATCGTCTCCACTCTCGGATGACTCAGCATGCTGACTCGTTGCCTCCTTGGCCTCGCTGGTCTTAGTATCATCCACTCCTAGCTTGCCCTCGGCTGTGTGCTGGAGCCTATCTCTCTCTTTCCTTGCTGCCAGAGAGGGTACTGATGGTCCTGGT